TTCTTTTCTATGGGAATGCAATGAAAGTCATTTCAATTTCTATTGTATTCTATGTCCCTGCTTTTGGGTTTTGCAGTATGATGCCTGCCAGGGCAATCCCAAGGGCCACTGTAGCTCTTTATTAAGCAACTCATTCATAGTTGTTCCACGAGCAACAAAAAAAAAACAAACAAACAAGGAGTTAAAAAATAAAATGGTGAGTCAAACTGATCTCCAGCTCTGATCAAGTTATATTAGGCGGGGAGACGAGATATGGAGAATCGGCAGGGCTGCCATGTTTTTAGGACAACGACCCAGGCTCCAAAGTCAGCAGCAGAGTGAATTCACTGAGGCTAGAAACAGTCCCAGAGGTCTGCCCCAGCCTGAAGTCCATTTTGGACTGTTGCAAACGTGGAACACATACTTCGGGCTCGATGATGGCTGACGGTGGCTCTTGGTGCTATTTTAACCCACTTGGTATTACTCTGCAAGGCAATGGGCAAGCCAAGGGCCGGCACTCAGGACTCCCGGGCTCTAGTCATACTGGCGCTCTGCTGCTCAATTGCTGCATAACCTTCCACCGCCCTGAGTCTATCCGTCGCACAGAAAAACTCTCTTGCCTAACCCCCAGCCAAATGACAAAAACAAAAGCCAGCACAGGACTTCAGAGTTTTTAGGCCTTAGGTATCCAATGCTGAGTATTTCATGCTCTGCTGCCTCCCTTGTTCTCCAATCAAGGGCTATCAATGTACTAGCTCTTTTTCTCGAGGCATCCTAAGCTTTGCAGTAATCTTGGCTTCTACGGTGACAACTGCTCAGCCACAGGGATGAGACAGAGACTGCCAACTTCTGCCCATCTCTAGTAGGGATGCTTGACTCTGGAAGAGCTTGTCCTGCCTGGCCAGCCAGGGAGCAGAGCACTTTAACAACAGCCAGCAAGCTCGGGGGGCAGAGAGAGAGAGAGAGAAACGGGCATGTTTGAGGAAGCATTAATAGAGCAACAAATAATCATGTCTCATGCGTCAAAGAAGAAGTTCTGCACTCTACCTGCTCAAAGTAGGGATGCAGCCTCTGCAATCAGAGCATTGAACAACACCATGAGTGGGCGCAGAGAACCCAGCCAGCCCAACACCCCGCACCCCGGATGGAAGACGGGCTTTATCCCACCAGGCAACGACTGAATCAAGTCCCACCAAGGGAGAGGTAAAGCCAGAGCAGCGGTGTTTCCTTAGGAATGGCTCGGCACCGAGCACCGGGCAACACAGAAGTCATGCCGACCTGTTCGGATGGGACGATGGCAGCATGAACTGGAACTCCACCACACAGGTGCCATCCGACAGCTGGCGATGCTGCAGGCTGTTCAGCTCGTAGGCAATATAGCCTCGCCTCACATACACCTGGTGAAAGGAGAGGATGGGAGTTTACACTGTGACTAAGAGTGGGGTCCCCACCAACCCCTACGCCCCCCAGCCAACAAAGCAAACAGCACCACTGTCTCTCTTGATGGTGCTCCCCGTGCCTCAGGCTCTCTGGACAGCACTGCTCCTAATTAAGAGGCACCCAGCCCCCCCGCAACTCAACCTTTACCTCCAGTGCTGCCATGCGCACCACTTCGTTCGCGTGGTAGAAGAAGATGGGCAGCACATCGAAGATGGTGGTTTCTGAGAGGATCAGTTTCTATCAGGACAAAACGGGACCCGGAGTGACAAAAGGAAAAAAAAAGAAAAAGCTAAAATGAGACACGGCAAATGGTAAAGCAGAGGAGGAGAGGGAAGGTGCCGCTGCAAGACCGTCTGTTCTGCAAGCTTCCTTCTGCTAGACTGGCTGCAAACCGTCCCAGAGGTTTGAGAGGTCTGCCCTGGCCTGAAGCCTGCTTTGGACTGGTGCAAACATGGAACACCGTGTTTTGGGCTCAAAAAGGGCTGACACTGACTGCTGGTGAAGGACAAGGTCAGCTGAGGGACGGATTCATTCTGTGTAGGTGCTCAGCACCAGTTCTCTGACAGAGGGGCATGTCTTATGCAAAAAGGGCTTGGCCACACCTTCTAATTAAATGTGGATGCAAATCAGCCATAGAGTTGTTATACATTTTCAAGCACTAACTTGGTAGCTGGTTGGCTCTTCTTATAGCTGAATGGAGACACTTTTATGGCGTGATAATTACTTTGCACCTGTGGCCGGTCTAAATTTATTGCACAACTGATCAGTGAATCGCACAATATGTGCGCTGCGTGGCAGGGACCAAAGGGAGAGCTCCCACTAGCTTCCTGCACACCCCTCAGGGAGTGGTATATGTGGTGAACCTGGGCTGTGGGGGTTTTCTGCAGGCAGTTAACAGCAAGCAACCTTTCACGTGACCTGGATATGGGCTAAAACTGACAGCTAAAGCAAGAAAATATTCACAAGCCTTGAAGGCTTGTTCATAAACAGCTTCCAAGCCAAATTCCCTCACAAGCCAAAAACCACAGCGTATCACCTCCTCACGGTGGGAGGTAAAAGTCCCTGCTTTCAACACACAACACTAAGAACATCCCAACCTTGAGGTTTTCAGGGCAGAACTGGTGGCCGTACATATCGATGGCAGAGAGGAGGATGGACTCCACCTGGTTGTGTCTCAGTTCGTACGAAGGGAGGTGAGACGCAATCAGCACCTAGGAGGGAAAAGACCGGAGGTGAACGGCTGAGATGGAGGTGAAAGGCAGGGCTGTGGGGTCAGGGTGGAACCAACCCTGCTGGACAATGCCGTGTACAGCCAGCCCACATCCTGACCTGTCTGGCTCTCAAAGCCACTTTGGAGTGCTCTGTTTTACTGAGCTGCGTCAGCTCGTTGAGGATGGCCACCAGCTCGTCGGTCAGGGTGGGTTCTCGGCCACAGAGCTGATCCTAGGCGAGGGAAAAACCTTCCAGCATCAGATTCATTCTCATTAACATGTACTGCTGTACATAAACCTCTTTCTGTATCCCTTCACGTGCCCTGAGTGTCTGAGACAAGGAGCCTGCTCCAAAGACTCAGCACCGGGAATGCGGTATGAAGACGGGGCATTTTTTTAACGAAGGCTCCGGTACTGAAAACTCCAGTAAGGACACTTTCAGGGGCTTAGCAGGTGTCATAAAGGTGGGGGAAGGGAGAGGGAGAAACCCTGTAACACTGAGATCAAAATACTGTCAAATGTCTGCAGCAGTAGTCTATTGAGCTGCGCACAAGACAGAGTCAGGAATCTCCCACTTTTTAATCCCAGTCCTCACCTGCCACGTACACTTCTTTGCACTGCACTGACCACAGCACCTTTGCATAAAACTGTAACTACAGAGGGCTTCCCTTCCCTTCTTCGTTACTGCTTAGTTTCCACATGCCCAGGACTTCCCTCCCGGGTTAGCTGTAAGCACCCTACAGTGTGTTTCAGAAGAGCCTGGATAAGAATCAGACGCCCACGCTGCCTAAGAGCTCGTTCTCTCTACTTACAATCAACATGGTCACAAGAAGGTTTTTCTTTGCCACCTGGGCATGTGCAAAGATGCACTTGAGCACTGGGGTCATGTCAGGCTTGTACTGCTCCCTCAGGTTGACCACGCATTTGTCGTAGTGAGCTGAGGAGGAGAGGGAACACCGTATGATCCGCGGTTAGATCCATGCCCACCAGCCAAGGGGCAAACCTGCCACCCCTCTCGTCCGACCTTGCTGGAACTGGGTTTCCACTTGCAAGTATCTCTTCAGCAAGTCCAGCACGACTGACTTCATGTAGCCCCGAATGCCACTGCGATACCTAAGGAAGAGCGGAGGAGAGGGCTGACGGCTGGAGCTGCGGCCTGGAGCCAGCGCATCATGGCACAAGTCAAGCTCCGGGGGCGGGAGCGCAGAGCCAGTCCAGGGGTGGGAGCGGGCCCCTCCTCTCATGGGGAAGCTGGCAGGAAGCGAGGCTTCCCGAGTCGAGGATGAGGTCTTGCCACTGTGCATGCGGTGGGTGTCTCAAGGCATTCCCCTTGGGGCCCCGCAGTGCAGGCTAGAGTTGGTCTCCCACCACTCCAACCCTCCCGCATAGGACAGCCTGTTACGGATGGCACTAGCGCCTGCCTGAAAACTTCCCACACCGCAGAGCAAGACGCAGCCCAGGCAGGCAGGCATTCACCTCTGGACTAACTGCACTATGCTCTGGGTGTTCATGAAGAAGACTTCCCGATCTGCCTTCCTCTGCAGAGTGGCTGCGTGGCTGTCCAGGATGCTAGCGATCTGCACAAAACACAGGGACTGCTGGAATGAAGCAGCTAATGACTAGCATGAGCCCAACAGTCTGGGACAAACCTGGGATACAAGAAGGAACCTGCCCTTTCAGAGACAGTATCCAAGACAGAGAAGATGCTATAATACCCAGGGTCTAAGAGATGTTGATCAGCTTGAACTCCAGCTGGGTTTCCAAAGAACTCAACTACCAGATGCCCCAGGAAACCTCCAGCCCTTAAACAGAAGCTGTTTCCTTTCTACCAGTGCCTCAACCCGTGTGAGTTATCCCTATGCACGTGAGCAATTCAATTCGTGTCAATGAGACGCTCCGCTGGAGAAAAGATATACATGCCTTACCCCAAACGTCCACTTACAGTTCCCCTTCTTGGGACCTCCCAACTCATAATAAATCTACACACATTATGATATATGTAAAAACCACTAGGGGAGAACTGGAACATGAAAGACTGTGAGGCGGCTTACCTGCTGACTAGGAAACTGGCACAGCACAGAAGTGATGTTACTGGCATACTGGGCCATCACTTTTCGTACAGATTTCTCCACTGACGGAGGGATTCTCCCAGAGACGCTTGTCATGATCTCCTGCAGCTCCAGAAGGGGCAGGGATGGGTCCCGGAGGGTTTTCATCAACTTGGTCACCCATTCTTTTGCCTAAGCAGAATAAAGACCCTTGGTGGACAGGGGCCACTGGATCTCTTGGCAAAAGCCGAGGGAAACAACCTTGCCTTGCAATGACAGCTATGTTTGCAGTCCTGTTTGGAAGTGATCAGGAGGGCTAGTGCAGTGAAGCTCAGGACGGTTTCTCAGTGGTCACCCACTCCCACTGAACAGGGCTCCACACCTGGTTTTAAGTCCCCTCAGGACCAATTTTCAGAAATGCTGAGCACTGTCTGACTTTAGTGGGTGGCTCCAACTGCATGGCATCCCTGACAGACAAGGCCTGTATCATCTGCTACAAAATCATCCTCTCTCTGTTCTGAGCACCGTTGCAGATTAGCAGCGGAGGCTGTTACAGGAAAGCACCTACCCTGGTGCTGAAATATGGCTCGGGCAAGCAGAACCCGTTCATGATGTTGATCAGCTTATGCAGCACGTTACGAAAGACCTGGTGCAGCTTCTCCCCGGTGATTGGCAATGTCTGCTGAGCTGGGAGGCCACCTCTGTACAGCTGGGCCTGAGGTGGGGCAGAGAGAAAGGAAAGACTGGACCTCCAGGCATGCAAGAAGCAGGGGAGAGAAGGGAGCCAAGGTGCCACTAAGCTAACAAGTAGAAACACATGGTACATTCCTCCAGCTACAGCAGAGGGACAGAGAGGCTGATCACTTTTGATTACACTTTTGATTAAAAATTCAGTGGAAGATGCAGTTGATCAGTCAGTCAGAAGTCTTAGGGAAACATAGGAGTCCTTACTTGTGTTGTTTTCAGTAAAGTCTGGACGTTCACCTCCTTTCTGGCTGACATAGCATCTATGCTTAGTGTGATGCAGACTAGCCAAGGTGTCTACAGAAAGGCTGGACCTTCAAATTCCACATCACCGCAAAACATTTAGGTTGTTAAAGCTTCCAGTGAACAACAACAACAACATGACAGTGTCAGAGGTGGGCACAGGCTGAAGAAGAGCAGGTGCATCAAGTAAATAGGTAAATAACTTCTCCCAGCAAAGATACTCACTGGATGCACTTTGGTAGGATCATCCAACTCAAGCCTGGCTATGACACAGCCTGCCTCCAGCAACGCTCCTGGCCGCTTTATATAATGTATGTGACCAGATTCTTCTACAGTCAGGGGCATGATCATTTTCATCACCTGTAGGAGGGTTGGTGGAATATTCATAGAGTGTCATGAGTGAATGGTATCCACGCAACACCCGGAGCCTATGATACAATCACATCTTTGCAACAGCTGCGAGATCGACCTGGCTTTATTTTTGCTGGGGGAGTGTACAGACCCAATGGATGCCTTTCAGCGCACCATGTGGACTGGGAAGCTGTTAGCCGATTACCTCAATCTCTGCAAAACTGTGCCCCATGCAGATGTGGCCTCCGTCTTCCACAAGGTACTGCAGCAGTTTTCCAGCAGAGGGTGATCTCAGCACAGTCGGATCTTTCTCCTTCTCAAAGTCACATGTTTTATTACTGATGGTGATTCGGTATCTTAAGGAGAGAGGAAATTGTTACCACTTAAAACACTTGCTGCCTGCCACAGAGGCAGCGGCTTTTGTGCCAGCTCACCAGCTCAACAAGAAATCTGCGTGGGACTCAATCTTTGACCTACCGGTCTGCTTCCTCCTTCATGTACGTAGTGTAACTGTTACCATCGTAGGACAGGAGCAGCCCACCATCATTCAAGCTGTGCACATCAATCTCAAGGTAGGTGTTATTCATGATGATGATGTATGTTGTCGGAGACTGACGGGCAACCTATTAGAAAGATTCCCCAAGGCAGACATCAGCAGCGCAAAAATGACTGCAAACATTCTCTGCTGAGGCCTGTGGGAGTTGTCAATGCCTTGGCATCCCCAGGGATCTGCCCCTTGGCCCATACCACTTGCCTGCTTTGCATTAAGCCTATATGGATGACAGGGGAAGCAGGGCTCTTGCTCTGTACTGGCCAGAGCAGGACGTGCTGCAGTCTCTCTGGCATTCTGATACTGCAGCGTACGTAGGGTGGATGCACGTACATGTGGAGCAGCTGTTATGTTCCAGTTGTCACGTGTAATGAGCTGAGAACTATTCAAGTGTAGCAGAACTGCTCTACCTTTAAAACGGTTTCATCCAGCTCTTTTGCAAGGGCCCCATGTGTACATGTGTCCATCCCCACAGTTGGCGCTAGCATTGCTAGCCTGGTTCTACATCTTTACAGCTACCAGCAGGTCCACCTGATCTTCCACTGGTCTGGCTGGTCTTATTTTCCTGCTGCACAGTTGGGGTGAAATTACGTGTTACACTTACACCATACCAAGGGCACTAACTACGCAAGCGTCTGAATATTGTAACGCCTTACCTCGCGCTAAGTGCCTTCTGAGCATCTCAAAGTGACACTACATCAGGCAAAGGTCATCTCTGAGCTACTCAGCTCATATTAGGGTAACTTCAGGCTGTTCCATGGAGATAAAATGAACAATTACCAGTCCTCCAGCATCCCAGGATGCATTGCTCCCAGCCTGCTTCCCCCGCACCAGAGCAGGGATAGAGTCAGGTATCCTGGATCCTAAACAAAACCCTGCTCACTAGATCTCTAGTGGCAAGTCAGAGCTGTGTGGGCAACACATGGTATTAACCCTTAACATGGCACTGCTCACCGCACATTCTGACTTTACCACCACTTCACACCGTGCACTTAGTGTGTAACTTCACCCTCAGTGGAATATAAGAAGTGCTGTGCTGGGTCAGACCAACAGTCCATGTAGAATATGGCATCATTTATGTTCCACATCCTGTGCGGCAGGAAAGTAAGATCAGCTGCCATCTGAGAGCAGGAAAACTGTTTATTCTGTAAGGACAGACTCAACTAAAATGAGGTTTCTTCTTTATGTCCAAACAGAGAAGGGTAACATTTGTGCTGCAGCTTTTATTGAAAGATGCCCACTTTGTGCTTGCCCGAGACGATCTGACTCCACACGGGTTACATGCCCGCCAAAGTCTCAACACCAGCACGGATGACGCGGAGACGCCGTTTATACCTTGACAGCGTACTTCACCCCTTCCGAAATGAGCTCCACATCTACAATGTTCAGCAGGGAATCTGCTGGCAGCACCTGCCCCCTGAAAGGCAAGGATAAAGTCAGGCACCACATGCTTTACAGCCTATTAGCATCAGTCCAGCTAAGAGGGTGGGCAGGTGCTGCTTTCAAATAGGCCGCTGCCATTCAATGTAGAGACAAAAACAATGGATTCAGACCAGAAAGGGCTGAAGCCAGGGAGGTCTTCTAAAGACAGACCTGCAAGGGAATTAAAAATGGCATCTCGGGCTCCTGCCAGCCCCACTCTTGCTTCTTTCTGCTGTATAAAGGCATACTGCAAACGGTGGGAGAAGACTGTTATTGCATCCCGTAAGTCCTGTATAGCTCAGAAAACGTGATGGGTGACAAGGCAGCTGATGACATAATATCACACGGGCATCCACGAATAAATGTTCAGTGGACGAGCAGGGAAGGAACTTTGTGCCAGACTTGAAAACTCTTGTGGCTTTGGTTAGCACCTCTCACCCCGATGACCTGAGAATGCCTGGGAGACAGAACATGGCAAAACCCAAACCAATTCCTCCCACCAAACAACAAATACTAAATGCAAGCCACACTTTATCAGCTGCTCTTCATTCATCAATATGACAAGGGGCTGGGGTCTCATCAAGTCCAGTTGCCTGAACTGCAAAAAGCAAAGCAAGTGCAAAGCAGTGCAAAGCCAGGCTTTTCCTTTGTAGTGTACTCTTTGCAGGCACCATTAGGTCTCTGGAGGCCAGTCTCCTTCCCCCCACTGATCTGTCTTTGCCTCTACAAGTCCTTCAATTGCTAATTCCCTAATCTGCTCCAGGGAAGAGAGATGTATTCCCAAGGCAAAACTTTCTGCACCTTGCTTTAACTTTCCTTGGGTTGATCGTTCCATAACAGCAGCTGGTCCTGCCCTCTGCTGTCAAAGGTGGAAACTTGCAATAGAAATATCATGTGCAATTAACCTCAAAGCACACAACCACTGGACAGCTTGAAAGGCCTCAAGTCACACACATAAATCTACTACACTGTAGGTAAAGAGAAAACTGGGAAACCAAGCCATGTGTTCAATATATGGGCATATGTTGTAGCCGTTGGTCTAGAGACATAGGCCAACAAGGTTCTTTGGGTAAATCCGATATCTTTTATCAGACTAACTCAACTAGTTGAAAAAATTCTTCTTTGCAAGCTTTTGGGTATAAATACCCTTTGTCAGGCTGAGGAAGCATCTGCAGTTGTATATCAGCCTCTGGCTTCTTTACTGTTCATTCCATCCAGAAAGAGCGCACACCAACTGTAGATGCTTCCTTAGCCTGACGAAGGGTATTTATACCCAAAGGCTTGCAAAGAAGGATTTTTCCAACTACTTGAGTTGGTCTACTAAAACATATCAGATTTACCCAAAGAACCATGTCTGCCTGTATTCAGTATAGGACATCCTTAATACTTTACCAAGGTGCTAGATGTGGTAGCACTGGACATGCAGTGAGATGCACTCTCAGTTCTAAAGAGCTTACAACCTGATCCGATGGGACAGGCAAAAGGATGGAAGAGGAAACGAAGGCAGAGGAAGCTGAAGTGCCTTAGCTCAGCGTCACAGCCGGTCAGTGGCCAGATGAAGCACAGAAATGTCTTGAAGCCAGTACAGGATCCCTGGGTACAGCGTGTCAAACCCTGCACTTAATGCCATGCCTCCTACACATGCCTACTACTGCTGAAGTCAACAGCAGGACTCCTGCCTGTTTCAGATGCAATCTCCATAGTCCTTCAAACCTGCTGCATTTTACCTTTCAAGTGAATGCAAGAATTCGGTCATGCAGGTCCGGAACAAGGCATCGGCTATGTTCAGAGCGCCGCAGACAACACCCAGCATGGTGTCAGGCTTCTCGGCCTAGGGGGAAAAGAACAAGGCTCTCAGTACCATGGGGCAGAGGATCCAGGTGAGAAGGAAGAGGATGGCCCAGGAGGGAGAGGCCGTGCTCCACTTTCTCTACCTGCACTTTCTCAGCGATCAGGTGGTCCAGCCAGCCAGTATCAATCTCGTTGTTCTGAAAGCTCTCGGTCTCCAGCAGCTTGATCAGATACTCGACTGTTGTTCTGAAATCCCCTCGGATCGACAGCTCTTTCAATGCTACAACCATGTTCCTTCAAAGGAAAGAGCTACTCTGTTCAGGCTGCTTTTCATAAGACCTGAGCAAACTGATCCATAGCCCTACTGGGCTTGCACGATAATCACGGCTCCCCTCCCTCTCATTTTGTTTCCAGCCACAGAGACTCCCAAATTTGATTTGCCTGGTACACAGGTGTTAAGTAACTGCTTTTGAAATATGCAGACACGTGGGCCTTAGATCAGTGGTTCTCAACCTTTTTAGACTCCAAGCACCCCATGAAAAATGCCAGCTCTTAGTTTTCACTCTTTCTTTTTTTTGCCTACCAAAACCAGCAGTTTTTCTATTGCAAAGAACTCAGAAAAGACTGAAACTATGGATTTCTGTCTGAAATGTCTCCGCTTCTCTTATGACTTGTGTTTGTAAACCTCACCATACTAATACTGTGCACCACCCCACATCACTCTTGAAAGGATCTCATGGCACCCTAGTTGAGAATCACAGTTGGGGTGAAATTAGATCGATGTGTAAAACTGAATTAGATCGACGTGTAAAACACTGTCATGGGGCAGCAGAGATTTCCAGCAAGTTGCACAGAATCTGGGTGGCTGAGGGTTCTGATTTGGTACCCTAAAAACCTACACCAAATACTTCTATCGCTGTAGAGACACATACCTTATAGTTCAGAAACATCTCAGAGTACCTGCTATTAATCTGCTCTGCACATTGAGCTTCTAGCTTTGTGTAACATCAGAGCTCTTGAAGGTCCCAGTTCAGCAAAACATTTAAGCACATATTTGAAGTTTAGCACATGTCTAGCACTAGTGAAGATCCATTCTTAAGAACAGCCTAATTAATAAATGGTGCTTTTCGGTGATGCTCAGCATTTCAGTGCATTTTAACCTATCTCTGGAATCTCTTTTTCAGAGCCAGCTTTAACAAACGCAGGGCCCAGTTTGAAAGCAACCTACAGTACGCACAGGAGAAAAAATGGCACGCAGGGCTGGCGTGGCATACATGTAGGTGGCAGTGAATTATGTAAACTAGAGCAAAAGACATCATTTTCTGTTGCTAAATAGCACAACATTGAGCGCCTGGTTTCTTTGGCCTTGGGAGCACGTACTAACGTTTTAAATATTACTGACGTGACCAGAATGAAAGGAATCCTGCGTGCTCCCCAAAGCCTGGAGCCTGGGGAGAAGGGTCCCATACTACAAAACCAGCACTACCCTTTAAAAGGAGTCTACAACTACACTCTTCAAAGCAGCTGAAGGTATTCACTTGCCCCCTGGGACCGAGCCAGGCATTTTGGAAGCAGCGTTCACTGGGAGTGGAGCCCCTAAAGAACGTTTACGGTCAGGGGTAGTACTGACGAGATGGCTTCCTCGCGGTTCTCCCCCCAGGAGAAACAGTGCCCGAACTGGGAATCGGCAAACTCATGCAAGCCACCGGCTGCTGCCACGCTGAAATAGCCCCAGACATTCTTGCTGCTTCGGAAATTCAGCTCCTGCACCGTCCCCGAGCTTGGCTTGAAACCCTGAGTTTGGGGTAAGAATTAGAAAGCACACAAGAAAGTCAGAACCAGGGAAGGGGAATCCCAGAGAAAGTGATGGCTCTTTAATGAGGATTCCTTTAGCTCTGGGAGATTTCAACTGGAAGTCGCTCCAGTATTTAACTATTTTATCAACAGAGGACTCTTCCAAGACTAATGGCGAAGTCTTTCCACCCCAGAAAGTTGATCCCATGTGGCGGGGACTCTTTAAGAACAGGGCTCCAGCCTCTCACCTCCTCGGGGTTTTCGCTGGTGATTCTGGCAGCGATGACGTGGCCTCTCGGCGCTGGGGCATTTACCGGATTCTCAAAGCAGATGGGCATGTCAGCCCACGGGGCCTCTCCGTACAGGACTCGAATGTCCTTTATGCGGTGCAAGGGGACACCCATTGCAATCTGCACGTGTGCCAAGTAGGAATGACAAAAGAAGAAAGGGTTCAGAGCTGCTGCTTTTTTTTTTCTTTTTAGGAATGAGGCACCAAAATTAGAGGGACGAGACAGTTTGATTGAACAGTAACAGGGCACTGCTCCTTTCCCTCTCTCAACCCAGCTCCAACTCATTTCAGGGTAACCAAAAGACTAGGTATTTGATGGCTGGTCAGAGCCCTCTATGAAAGCAGTTTGTCCACTGGCATACCGTTGAGGTGCTCAGGATGGATGGGGCATTGCTGAAGAGCCTGCGTTGCCACCTGGGCTCTTCCTAACGGAGAGAAAACATCTTTCTGACTCTAGTCCCTTTCACAAGCTTTACATCCATGCAAGCTGCACTGCTGAAACTACTGGGTTCCTCTGTTCTCTGTGTAGTATGGCAGCTTTATAAGGGTGTGTGGGGAGAAAGGTCAGGCAATTTCAAGTACCTGCAGCTGAGCAGCAGGTAAGTTCACATCTGCAACCATTTCCGTGCAGGGGTGCTCGACCTGCAGGCGGGGATTCAGCTCCAGGAAGTGGAAGCTCCCGTCCTCACTATACAGGTACTCGACTGTCCCTGTGCTCACGTAACCCACCATCCTCGCGAGGCGCACGGCACACTGGGAAACAACGACACAAGCCATTTTTAGTGCTGGCTCCTGGTCACTCACTCCGCTTCTACCGCACACAGGCTTCTGACAGGCCTCTCCCTGCAACAGTCATCAAGCTGGGGAGAGAGAAAAAACTGAAGCAAACAGGAAAAACCGCCAACGCTTCGGTCCGAGAGGGAGGATCCATTTTGCCATTAAGAATGGAAGTGACTGGAGAGTCCGATATGCTGAGGTCTGGTTGCAACGGGTAATGCGCTGCAGAGAAGCATGGAGAGGGAACGCAGCGCAAGCTGGGAACTGGGGAATGAACAGAAGCCGCTGCCCCGTTAGCCAAGTCACAGAACTAGCACCCTCCAGCTCAGCTGGCCGCTGCTTCCTTATGTGCCTAATCTGCGAAGGCAACACAGCACCACTGAAACCCTACGGCAACTGCATGGGACAGTGGGAGGTCACATAGGCACTAGCTCAGTTCATCATAGCTCCCCGCCATTGGGATTCACTCGCAGGCTGAGCTGCTGGGGACCGTCTGTTTGGTTACTGCGTGTCAGGACCACCAGCAGCCGGCCAGGTAGGGACCGAGAGAAGTGTCACCCTGGCCACAGCCTGGCCAACAGTCTCCTGCGGGCAAGGGTTTTGTTCGGCTGTCCCAGGTACCCAGCTGAGGGCGCTGCTGTCTCCAGATTTGGTCCAGCTCCTCCTCTGCATTGTGGCGACGAGGCATTCAATAAGCCTGGCTCACTCGCTGCCATACTATTCGTCAGCTATGGAAATGAGAAAGGGAAGGACGCTGGGTGCCAGGGGAGGGGAAAGGGGTCCCCGGTGCCCTTCTCAAGAGCTGTGGCTGGGGGTGGCCCCAAAGTGACCTTGCTACCTCATTTCCAGGGTTGACGAACCTAGCGCGGGAGGAAGTAGGTGGGGATTTTTGGCAGGGAGGCCGAGCTCTCTCAGCCCCTGCAAGTGTAGACGTGCCCTGAGGCTCCAAATCCTCTAGCCAGTCTCCTGATACTATCTCCTGTCCCCACTTGCTCTTCAGTCTCCTGACTATTCCCTGCCTTCCCCTCAACCTCTGGTCTCCTGACCCCAGCCCTCAGCCTGCTCTTTGGTGTCCTGACCCTGGACCTAACCACTGGACTGGACTGCCCAAACCCAAGTCATTAAACTGTACGTCGACAGCGTAATAGCTGAGGTCCTGACTCCTCCGTGCTACTGCAACACAGAGGCTATTTCTTTTCCATTCACCAGGAGATGAAGCAAGGGCATCACGGCCCAGGCTGAGAAGGGATATAAAAGCGCTCGCTAGAAGCTCAACAAAAGGCGAACATGAGAGCCTGCCTTTAACTGTGAGGTGAAACCCAAGGGTCTGAACCACTCATGCAGGTGGCTTTGTCCATGTACACCTTGATCGTAAGCTCTCTGGGGCAGGGACTGGTCCATTTGCTATTTGTTTGTACAGTGGCTGGCTTGGTGGGGCCCTGATCCCTAGGCTACGTCTCTGTGGCCTCTGGCGTGAGCCCAGAAGCACCCCCGAGAAACAGCTCTCACCTGCTGGTGCCTGATCCAGGCATGCCCACCCACACACATTAGGAAGCACAGATGGCCACGAAGGGCACTGAGCCCCTCCAAGCGGTCATCAGCACACACCCAATGCTGTTCTCAGGCTCAGGCATTGCTCCGATACAAACCTGGCAAAGCTGGAGGAACCAGCAGCTGGAGGCTTCTTGCCACCAGCATCCCCTCTCCTCTGTCCTATCCCCGGCCACCCGCCTGCGCAAGAGATGCCGAACACCCACCTGCTCCATGAAGTCAAACACGGCGGGAGCGGCTATCGTGGCCGGAGCCTCTTCGATGATCTTCTGATGTCGGCGCTGGATGGAGCAGTCACGGCCGAACAACGAAACTGCGTTCCCGTACTGATCGGCGAGGACCTGGACCTCCAGGTGTCGTGCGTGCTGTGCTAATTTCATCACGAAGATGGGGGACCCGATGGCCTCGCCCTGTACCTGGGAACGGAAGAGAAAACCCTGACTCTGGAAGGAACAGACGAAATGCCCTCGCAAGTGGGATGAGGATGGGAGACACGAAGAAACCCATCCTCGGGGTGTGACGGGGAAATTCACCCCCAGCCCAAGGGCAGACACTAGATTCCCACCACCAAAGGTTACAAATCCACTCAGGGTCCTGCCTCCTTTATATACTCAATGGTTTTTATTTTTTTTTAAATATGAAGGAACGTAACTATAAAGAGAGCCAGCCCGTCAAAGGGTCCCGATAAAACCAGAACAACAGGGGACTGGCATTCACGTTTTACAAAGCAGGACTGGAGACGTGAGGGAAGACTCTGCTCAGAGCACCTCATCTCCCTAAGGGGAAGGTTAAGGCAGAGTGTTTTTTAAGGGACAGGGGTCACCTTAGAGCCTCTTCCTTGTCCGAGGGGAAATTAAGACAGGCAGGATATTGGAAGGGACAAGGGAAAGCTTTACTTCTTTTCCCTCAAATGGGACAAAAGGCAGGACTGTTGTTTTGGTACAAGACACAAGTACCGCGGATGGATCAGGAATCTTCCCCCGTGCCTTTGACTTGTCTGAGAGGGTGGGATCTGGGAGCAGGCACCTTCCTGGAGAGCCCCTTACTTGTCTGAAGCGGCTGGCAAACTCCTCCGCAGTCTCTACTTTGCGAATCCCTTTGCCCCCGCCGCCTTCGGAAGCCTTTATCATCACGGGGAAGCCGATCCTCTTGGCCACCTGAGGGAGGGGAAGGGGATGCAGCAAGCACTTTTGGGCACAGCTCCCCAAAGCACCTGGACGCACGACCGGCTGGCCCACCCCCTCCCTGGGTTGGACAGACCCCCAGAGAGCACCGCCGATGAGGTTTCACTCAGTGGCCCCCTCTGAATGGCAGCACTGGACGGAGCTGGTGGCAGGGACCCTGTCCTCTGGAAAGAACGCTATCGCGCCTTACTTGCAACGCACACCAGTCGCCAGGCCCCTTAATGAGCCCAGATAGGATAGAAACCATATGCATGCTGCCTGGGGCTGGGCCAGGGCCCTTCTTTACCTCCAGGCCATCGTCCACATCCTTCACGCAGCCCTGTCCGTAAATCTCCAGGGGGACGCTGATGGTCCTCTGCTGCTCGTGATCCTCCTTGCTCCACTCTGCCACCAGACCTGCACGTGCAGAGCAGAGGGGCTGCACCCAGACTGGCAGGAACAGGATGACCCCGCGCCCTCACCGCTGCCAACAGCTGCGTTGGTGCACTGAAGCCCTTTTACTTCCCCAGAGCCATATGCCCACAACAGCAGCCTACTGAAAATCAGGCCAAGCCTGCTGCTATCTGCATGCATCATACAGAGGACTTGGTGGGGTTCCCTTGTATTTTCCAGGCACCCCCCTTCCGTGGGGGAACTGCCCTGAGTCAGGGCAAGCACGCTGAGACTGCTCCACATCGGTCCTATCCCCACTCTCCAGTGCACACAGAGACAGGCACGTACAAGCTGGGCTCTGCCGAGATGGAACAGGGCATCTCATGCTGGTACAAATCCCAAATCCTTACACCAAGCCTTAGAAATGTTGACCTGTTAAAAGCATCAGGGGGCTGCTGGCTCAGCCCCATTTGGATGCTAACACTTGGGCATTCGCTCCATCCCTCACAACCTGCTTGTGCTGGGACAGCGCACAACAGCCTGGCTCAAGCATTGACCTGTGGATGGCCAAGGGGCAAAGCAAGACAGATAGGAACAGAAGGGAACAAGGAAGCCATAGAGGTGACAGTGATGAGAGGAGAGCAGCGCAGGGTGGGGTGGAGGGAAAATAAAAGGATAAGGAGTGACTGGAGGGTAAAGTGACAGTGAAAAGGGCCAGCAGAAGAGAAGCATGAAGACAAGGAGAGCTGGAAAGGAGGGAGGGCAAGAATAGTGGGGTGTCGGGCAAGCCAGCTGACAACAGCAGGCAAGTTCTTTGCAGTACACAGGCAAATTAGGAACAGCACTGCCATGAAAGACCCGACCGCTGCAGCTGCTAAGATCCCCGCTCCTCCCTTCTCCGGTCACTCTGATGCACAAAGCAAGACAGACAAATCTGGCCCGTGCCATGTCCAAGCAAAGCACTGCTCGGGCCGAAGGTGCGCTTACCGCTTCCACTCCACGGTAATGTGGGGATCTGAACTGTCTGTGCTATGATGGTGGAAGCCACTTTATCTCCCAAGGCCCACATGGCATCACTGGGAGGACCTGAGCACCGGCAGGAAATAAGAAGGGGGTTAGTCAGGGAGGATATCCCATTACCTCTGGAAGTCATGCAGCATCACTGATCCCCTTTCTAAGGGAGGGACAGAACACTCCTCGGAAGCGCATGAAACAGGCGTCTGCAACGCTGGGGTGTGGACTGGATTACCTGCCAGGCCGATGCTCATAAATGCAAAGGCACCATTTTTACATGGGAAACCCAAAAAGAGTGGAAGCCACACAGGAAGTTTCCATAAAGCTGGCTTGAGAGCCTCTATGCTTTAAGGCTGGTGTAAGGACCAATGCTACACGCCATGCACTAAGACGTGTAAAAAGTAGTGGCATCTAGAAACCAAGGATACAAGTGTTTCGGGTTGCAGATATGCAGTGACTAATTCTGAGGTATGCTGCTTACACATGCATTCGTGTTTCCCCAGGCTGGACTCACTATCTTCATGTTTCATCTGGATCAACTGCTAAAGAGAAGTTGTGGTCGTTTGCATCATATTTGTATTTGTACACGACATGTTGTACAACAGAAGATGTGCCTTATGTTTTAGGGCCTCCATAGTTAACAAGTCATCAGCTGGTGTGTTGGCAGTAGATGGTTTGATTAGCTGGTTCCTGATAAGAAGCCCTGTTGAAAGCAGTGTAAGTCCTTGCCTGAATAACTATCCCACCCACTGCTGTTTCACAGGCTAACCAGCCTCTGTCCCTCAGACAGGGATTAGCCTTTGCTCAAGTGAAATTTCTCTGCTTACTCTCACAGGCTCTTTCTACTTGAATCTGTGTTTACTCAAACAGATAAGACTAGAACTGGGACTTGCCCTTTCTTCCTATTTTTACTTCTCTACCTTGCTCGTTCCCAAAATAAAAAGGAAAATAAATTTGTTTTGGTCTCCAAAGTTATCCTTCTTTCCTATGCAAGAGGAAGACAGCGTCTCAGACAGACAGTCAGGGACAGATGCCGTCAACAACGCCGCTGTGACAAAACCGGCTGGAACATAAAACACACCTTGTATCAGACAGCTTATTGACAGATACCACACATGAGGAGCTAGTGCAGTCTGGGGAGATATCCGTGCAGGTGTAAGTAATGTACCCCCAATTCATCCCTGTATATCTATGTACCCTGCAACTACAGACACAACCATTCGCTGGATGTACGTTACAATGGATTTCCATTTGCTTCCTTATGCAGAAGGCCAAACTGTGAAGATGTAGAGAGCCTCACCGAGGAAAGCCACCCCATTTTTCTGCAGCAGCTCTGGAAGCTTAGGATTCTCTGAAGCATGTCCCCAGCCAGCCCACACCGCCTGGGATGGAAGAAGGAGGGAGTAGGAGAGGTCAGCTGTACAACACAGGTGCCCTCATGACTTTGATTCCCAATATCCTGCACTGCTGTCCAAGAAAGACCAGCTCAAAGCACCATTGCATTCAGAATCACCAACTCCGCAGCTCACGCCTGCTTCTAGACACCTCTTATCCCTGTCCAAGTGCCTCCCTTGCTACTGGTTGCAGGGATCTTAAAGACCTGTGAAGCAGTTGTCCCAGAGACCACCCTGTCCCAGCAGGGAGATGACTATTTCCATGTCTCCTTATTTTCAGTTCCTTGAAGGATTGAGCCATCATTTCAAAAAAGGACCATCTATCTTTGTGCTGCTCCTCTGCACGGCAGCTCATGATGGCAGCAGAGCCTAAGGCAAAGGGTTAGCGCGTGACTACAAAGGTCATCAGAAAAAAAGCAAGGGTGGACTGTTTATCAGTAACTGGCAGTGTCCAGCACCCTGGCACCAGGCTGACACAGACCAACCATGTGGGACTCCTGTACCCACGGCTCTGGGACAATGAAGAGGGAAATCCTCACTTCTCTAGCACTCTCTTATTGCCCAATGGAGCCGACAGGCATGTTTCCATCAGTTCCCATGGAACTGCTCAGGCTGGTGACCCCCTGCTCTCCTCCCCCAGAACCACCTGCCTAGAAGGAGACAATTTTAGGCCTTCAGGAGTGGTTCCCAATCTTCACGTTCCTAATGGTTTTCACCTGCACTGGAATTCGTTTGGCGATGTCCACAATGAGCTCTACATTGGCGTAGTTGTTGTTGTTGGCTCCCCCAGGAACAGGCACGTAGTGATCGGCCATTTTGATGTACTCTGGAAAAGCAAGGGATGGGGTGTCCCGGTGGCAGCAAGAAGAGCAGCGGACTCCTGTGCAGCAAGACTCTCTGCTGGCCCCTCGGCTCTCGCTATGCTGCTCACGCGGGGTACTGCAATCACGACAGGTCTGCAGCCCACCCTGCAGGCTGAAAAATAACCACCATCCCGCAACCCAAGGCGGGCTGAAAGAGGCAGTGAGTCTAGTGAGTCTGTACAGTCATCACTCAGTTCATGATTGCAGGCTCTCGAGGAGTATACCGCATTCTCTCACATACAATACACCCTTTTTTCCAAAACCCAGCTGCTGGAAATGAGGGGCTCATTATAAGTCGGGAAATGTAGTAAGGTGGGAAAGCAAAAGGAGAAGCTGAACAGGGAGCAGAGCAATGAGCAGGCCTGGATCCACTAGTTGCTGCTGCTGCTCAGTTATTTAGTACAAGGACAGGTCTTTCTTTCTTCATTCTGCCTTTCAAAAGCAAGGCATGTTGTATATAAGAAAATATGGCATGTGACAACTTCCCAGGAAAGCAAGGCAGGAAGAGGGGAGAAGGGCCAGTGCCTATCCCTCCCAGGAGGTATTTGTGATCATCAAGAAGGAAAAAAACCAGTGTGAACAGTTGGGAAAATCTGATGAATCTCACACTCACCTGCATTTGCCTTAAGGTCTTCAGGTGTAACCATGACAACAAACCTAATTGCTCGCTCATTCCGAAACATTTCGTAGGCCCACCGGCGGATGGAGCGCATGCATTTGACAGCAGCAATGCCATTGTTTGCAATCAGGACCTGGAGGAAAGACACGGGAGACTGAGATGTAGGCACCTGCATCAGAGCAGGCTCAAACCTGTAACTCCTCACCGCTGCTGAAAGCCCAGGCCAGGGAACATGCTGTCTTTGGAATCTAGCTTAATGTTCATACAGGTGAATTGCAAAAAAGCCACGGGTTTCCACAACGTATCGGTTATCGCCAGGCAAGATACCAAGATGACCAGCTGTAGGGGAAATAAGACACAAGTTGCTTATGGCACACACATGGAGGTGCTGTGCTTGTAGGGAAAGCGGGATATCAGAGTACAAGGACATGTATGATACACAGGCCAATACAGCTATTTCAAGAACTGAACTCTGCATCCAACTATGCACCCCCGCCCCAAAAACCCCCTTCTGCGGGGGGAAGTTCTCCTGCCTCTGAAGACAGCATGAGGCCAGTTGCCCTTTCTGTACAAGAGGGAGAAAACAGAAAGGAAAGAGTCTCACACTGCTGTTAGTTACTTCCTTTGTAGTCAAAGAAGCTACTCCCAATTTATCCAGGGTAGGCTGGAGTTCAGGATCTGGTTCAATATCTGTTACTCTGCTCACAAATGCCCTGAAACATAAAGGGACCCTGAGAACAAAATGCACTACGTGGGTCTGCCTCTCCTCCTCAAGCTAGACCACATCTGCAAGGGACCACTTACTAATGCAAGGTTTCTCAGAGCTCTGTGACTTGGCACTTTGAAAACCAGCAGCAAGATCCTGGCCCCAGAGCTCTCTTAGGATGGTGGAGAAAATGTTTTGGCTTGTGATCCATGTGGTTGCTTCCAGCACCACAGGATGTATTGCCAAGACAGAAGGTGGTGGTCTCCCTGCTTTACCTGGGGCAGGTTAGGGCATTGTATCTTGTGCTGTACCAGCGCTGACAATATCTTTGCTAAGAGGTTAAATAATGGATTTGTATGGGATGGTTTGGATACGGACGATCCTGCCTCACGCAGGGAGCTGGACTAGATGACCTACGGAGGTCCCTTTCAGCCTGACGTCTCTATGAAGCTCTGGGATTAGGAAAAACTAAAATAACCCCTGAACTCTGAAGAAGCTCCTTTAGGCATTGAGAGCTTAATATAGACAAGAGGAAAGCCAGGAAGGAGCCTGAGAGATGGTGGGTGCACCACAAGAAGTCAGGGCTGTCCAAAGAAAGGAGCAGAGAGCCTTATACCATCAGCAGGGGCATGAAGACAGGAGAGAGGAAGACAGAAAAGGGGGTTTTACACACATGCACTGGTGAAAGGAGCAAGAGAAACCCTGCTGAGGTTCTCCCAAGGTTTTGAGCTCACAGAGCTGTTCAAAGCCCTTGGCAAAGCCTTGACTTAACAAGAGAGCAACATATGTCAAATGACCTCCGTTCAAGGTGCCTACGACATACAGAAGCAGCCCCACTGCAAACAGAGCATGGAGCCAGCTCCTGCCCCGGGCAC